GGCCCTACATGCATCCCTGGAACATCTGGATAACAAAGATACCTACATCAGACTCCTATTTATTGACTTTAGCTCCACCTTCAACACCATAATTCCAACTAAACTCAGCTCTAAACTCTAAGACCTTGGACTCTGTTCCCCGCTCTGCAACTGGATCCTTGACTTCTTGACCTGTAGACCACAATCAGTAAGGATAGGCGACAACGCCTCCTCCACAATAATTCTCAACACCGGTGCCCCACAAAGCTTGCATACTCAGCCCCTTATTGTACTCCTTATACACCCACGACTGTGTAGTCAAATTCAGCTCTCACTCCATTTACAAATTTGCTGCTGACACTACCATTGTGGATCAGATGTCAAACAATGATGAGACAGGGTACAGGAAAGAGGTAGATAGCTTAGTGGCATGGTGTAAAGACAACAATTGTTCCCTCAATATCAGCAAAATGAAGGAGCTGGTCATTGACTTCAGGAAGCAGAGTGGAGGACATGCCCCTGCCCTTATCATTGGTGCTGTGGTGGAGATGGTCAAGATCTACAAGTTCCTAGAAGTAAATATCACCAACAATCTATCCTGGCCCATCTACATCGATGCTACAATTAAAAAAGCACACAAAAGGTGCTACTTCCTCAGAAGGTTAAGGAAGATCAGCATGTCCACAACAACTCTTAACTATTTTTATAAATGCCCCATAGAAAGCATTCTATCTGGATGCATCACAGCCTGGTTTGGCAATTGCTCTGCCCAGACTGCAAGAAATTACAGAGAGTTGTGAAGCCCAGTCCATCATGCAAACCAGCCGTCCATCCATTGTCTCCATCTACACTTCCGGCTACCTTGTAAAAACAACCAACATAATCAAAGATCCACCCACGCCAGTGATACTCTCTTCCATCCTCTTCCATTGGGCAGAAAATACAGAAGTTTGATAACATGTACTAACAGATGCAAGAACAGCTCCTTCCCTGCTGTTATCAGACGTATTAACAGACCCCTCATATATTAGAGCTGACCTTTCTCTGCACCTTCTCTGTAGCTGTAACACTGTGTTCTGCATTCTGTTCTATTACCCTAATATACTTAGGTTAGGTATGATTTGTTTGGATAGCTTGCAAAACAATGCTTTTCACTGTAATCCTGGTACATGTGACAATAATAAATCAAATCAAACATTCCTCAGACTGCTTTAGAATCAAAGGAATTTGTAAATCCTAACTTGAACATTTACCTGCAGCTATCTCTATTTGAAATTTATGAGTTAGGATATCAAGTCTTGGGGCTTTATCAAATATTAGCCTCTTGAGTTTTTAGTTGCTAATTTCTAGCTCTACCTGCAGATGAAGTATGATGTGGATATATGTGAGGTTATCCCTTTTGGTAGCAAAACAGGAAGGTAGGAATGGTAATAGATTGGGAAAGAGGAACGTGCAACAACACCTGGGAATCCTTGCGCACAAGTCATTGAAAGTAAACATGCAGATGCAGCAGGCAGTGAAAAAGACAAATAGTCTGTTGTCCTTCATATAGAGGGGATTTGGGTCCAGGAGCAGGGATGTCTTGCTGAATTAATGAGACAACACCTAGAGTATTGTTTGCAGGTTTGGTCTCCTTATCTAAGGAAGGATGTTCTGGCCATGGAGGGCATTCAAAAGTTTACCAGACTAATTCCTGGGATAGCAGGACTGCATATGAAGAGAGATTGGATTGGTTGGGATTACATTCACTGGGGTTTAGGAGAGTAAGGGATGATCTCAGAAACTTGTAAAATTTTGACAGGACTAGGCAAACTAAATGCAGGAAGGATGTTCTCAATGACTGGGAAATCAAGCATGAGGGGTCACGGTCCAAGGATACAGGGTAGGCCATTTAGGACAGAAACGAGAAGAATTTTTTTCACCCAGAGCGTGGTGAGCCTATGGAATGCTCTGTCACAGAGGCCAAAACATTGAATGTTTTCAAGAAAGAGTTAGATATAGTCCTTAGGGCTGAAGGGGTTAAAGGATATTGGGGGAAACCAGAAACAAAGTATGAGTTAGATGATCATTACGATCATATTGAATGATGAAGTAGTCTGGAAGGGCTGAATGGCCTATCACTGCTCTGTATTTCTATGTTTCTACATTTACGCTGCACATAGTTCTCAAGAGTCTTTACCACTGACTTCAATTTTGTTGGTGTATTATCTAATTCTATCTGGCGCTTTAATGAGTTTTGTGAATTACTGAAATATATTGGTAAAGTTTTTTTTGCCTTAGTAGATGTTGATTTGCCAATACAATATATTGTAGTGAGAAGCAGTGATTAGCAGAGTCTACATTTTGCACATGCAACCTCCAATACACTCAAGAAGGTCAACACCATCCAGGACAAGGCAATATACTTGATTTTTTTTATTTGCTCATGGGACGTGGGCATCACTGGTTGGGCCAGTATTTATTGCCCATCTCTAGTTGCCCTTGAGAAGGTGGCAGTGAGCTGTCTTCTGTACCACTGCAGTTCATGTGCTGTGGGTAGACCTACCGTTCTGTTAGGGAGGGAGTTCCAGGATTTTAACCCAGCGACACTGAAGGAACAATGATATATTTACAAGTCAGGATGGTGAGTAGCTTTGAGGGGAAGATACAGGTGGTGATGTTCTCTTCTATCTGCTGACCTTGTCCTTTTTGATAGAAGTGGTCATGGGTCTGGAAGGTGCTATCTAAGGATCTTTGGTGAATTTCTGCAGTGTGTCCTGTTGTTGATACACACTGCTGCTACTGTGTGTCAGTGGTGGAGGAAGTGGATGTTTGTGGATGTGGTGCCAATGCTGACGTTTGGGACAAGGACAAGAGCAGCTGATACCTGGGAACTTTGATCTGTCCTTTCTCATTAACCTGCTATTTAGTGTGAAGTCCTCGCTGCAGCTCTGATTTGCAACCTGCCAGAGCACATGTCCCAGAGTCATTTGAGTGAAGATTATCCCTTTGGTACAATCCCATGGAGGTGCCTGTGGACCATGAGTCAAACACCATTTCTCCCCCACCAATCTTTGAGCCATGCACCCAATTCCTTGTCTTATTTATTCTACTCCCATGTACTCACAGCTCAAGCAACCATCCAGAGATTATCATCTCTGGGGTCATGTATTTCCATCAACCCCCCACCCCCACACCCGGTTGCTTGTACATCCTTTGCAAAGCCTTTTTCTATCTCTGTCATTGGTACCCACATTGGCCATGAAACTAAATCCTTCCTCTCCCACTGTGAATTCCTCTCTAGACCAGTGGAGATTTCCTTAACCCGGGTCACCATTCCAGATCACATCCAGTTCCTCACTGTATTCACATGTCCTTGTTCTTCACCCAGATTGACTCATCATGCTTCAGCTGTGGATCACTCTCCCCTGAGATTCACAATGTGTACATCCCACAAGTTGCCATTGGTCAGCATGGGAGAGATCCCTGCCAGGCCCGATCAAAAGAAGGTCCCTGCTGGGCCAGTTTGGGAGACAATCCCTGTCATGGAGTATGAGTGGGTTCCTACTAGGACAGGTTAGGAGTGGATCAAGATTTAAACAGAAGTTCCTTTTTAGACAACAAAACATCATCTAGTTGCTCTCCTGATTTTGTGCATAGTTGCCACAAACCATTTGCACTTAGCTTGTATCTGACCTCTACATCGCTCATTCTGTTGACAAAATTGGCTGCACTGCCAATCAGTTTCCACTGTGCAGATACATCGAGCTCTTGGAGCCGTCAGCGACCCACTTGTCTCCTCTTTGTCCGAACGTTTATGTCTTTGCACATTCGTTAATCCATATGGTACAATTCGTCTGGAATTAAGATGCCATAACATTAAGGATGAGGAAAATGCCCTATCACAAAAGGTCAAAATCTCAAAGACAAGTCACTGTGCAGTCAACATCACGTGTTCTCTTTGAAACACTGAACATCATGACTCTCCTCCTCACCTACTTCACTTCCTCATCCCAATCCCCTCTTCTCCCTCCTGCCCTCCCTGCTCAGCTCCATTCCCCCTCATCTGCTTTGCCCCTCTCAATCCTCTTCCTTCTCCCCACTCCACTTCCACTTCCTTCCCCACGTCCCCATCCCACATACTCCCCAGCTGGCCTCATTCCTCCATTTTCTCATCCTCACATCACTGCCCTCCAAATTCAACACACTCCTTGTTTTTCATAAAGCACAACCATTAGGAACAGAAATAAGCCATTCAGCTCCTCCATCCAGTTCCATCATTCAATTAGATTATGGCTGACCTGTGGTCTCAAATTCACTCTCCTGTCTCCCACCACTCTTCCCACCACCTCTGACTCATTTATCAATTGAAAATATATTCAAATTCACCTTGAATTCTTGGAAAATCCCAGCTTCTAGTAGACAGTACACACTGTTGCTTTTGTGTTGCTAGCGATGAATGGTGAATGTTGAAGTGGTAGATGTACTGCCAATCAAGCGGCTGATTTTTCTGGGATGGCGCCAATCCTGTTATTGAAGCTACAACCACCCAGGCAAATGGGGACTATACCATCACATTCCTGACTTTTGTCTTGTAGACAGGTTTTGGGGAGTCAGGAAGTGAGTTACCCATTCCAGAATTCCTAGCATCTGAACTTCTTTTATAGCCACAGTATTTATAAGGCAAGACCATTTTAGTTTATGGGGGGTGGCTCAGCGGTTAGCACTGCTGTCTCATGGTGCCAGGGACCCAGGTTCGATTCCAGCCTCAGGCAACTGTCTGTATGGAGTTTGCACATTCTCCCCGTGTCTGCGTGGGTTTCCTCTGGGTACTCCGCTTTCCTCCCACAGTCCAAAGATGTGCAAGTTAGATGTATTGGCCATGCTAAATTACCCATAGTGGGATAGGGTAGGGGATGGGTCTGGGTGGGTTGCTCTTCAGAGGGTCAGTGTGGACTCGATGGACCAAATGGCCTGTTTCCATACTGTAGGGATTCTATGAAGTTTCTTGTCAATGGCGACTCCCAGATGGTCAGAAGAAAATTACATCATGAAAAAGAGCAGGAGTAAATTAGTCAGCCCTTTGAGCCTGCTCCAACATCCAATAAGATGACAACTGATTTACCTCAATACCATTTTTCTAAACCTCATGTCCCTTGAGACCATTAATACCGTGAAATATATTTGATCTCTGTCTTTAACATGTTCTATGCTCTAAAGCCTCCTGGAGTAGAAAATTCAAAAATTCACCATCCTATGAGTGAAGAAACTTCTCCTCAGCACAGTCTTAACTCTCTTGCATTTTATCTGAAAATATGTCCTCTGATTCTACATGATACAGCCTGGTGAATCAATTCTCCCACACCTATTTTGTCACTCGGTGTAAGAGTTGCTTCACCTCAATTAGATCATCTCATATTCTTCTAAACTCTAGAGAATACAGGCCCTGACTCCTCAATGGTAATGCCATTGGATGTTAAGGAGGGGTGGCCATTACTTGGCATTTGTGTGGTGTGAATGTTACTTGCCACTTGTTAGCTCAAGCCTAGATATTGTCCAGATCTTGTTGCATTAGAAAATAGACTACTTCAGTATCTGAGGAGTTGCAATTGATACTGCATATTATGCTATCATTGGCAAACATCCCCACTTCTGACCTTATGATGGAGACAAGGTTATTGATGAAACAGCTAAAGATAAGTGGCCTAGGACACTACCCTGAGGAACTCCTGAAAGATGTCAAGGAACTGGGTTGACTGACCTCCGACAATCACAATCATCTCTGTTAGTAGTAGGTATGACTCCAACAAGTAGACACATAACTCCCTGATTCCCATTGTCTTCAGTTACTCTCGAGCCTTGATCATAGAATCACACAGTACAGAAGACAACCTTCATCTTTTCGAGTCTGTACTATCAAAAAACACACTACTACTTACACTAGTCCCATTTTACCACATTAAACCCATAGACATGAATGCTATGACACTGCAAAGGCTCATCCAAGTACTTTTTAAAAGGTTGAGGTTTCCTGCCAGTCTGTATGTTCCAGATCCCCAACACCCTCTCGGTGAGAAAACTTTTCCACAGTCCCCTCTAAACCTTTTGCCTTCTGCATTAAAATCATGCCCCACTGTTATTGACCCTTTGACTAAGGGGAACAGCTGATATCCACGAGAATCACTCTCACCTCCCCTCTGAATTTCAGCTCTTTTGTCCATGTTCTATTGTCTTCCCCCATTTATATGTTGAGTAACTCCGCCCCCAACTTCACAAATGACATCCCCTCTCTATGCTGCCTCCAATCCCTACAATGTGTTCCTTAGTTTTCCATCCAAAGCAGTGGCCCCTGATAACACTAAATAAAAACCAAAATAACTGCAGATGCTGTAAATCCGGAACAAAAACAGAAGCTGCTGGAAAAGCTCAGCAGGTCTGGCAGCATCTGTGAAGAAAAAAAAGTTCTGAGGAAGGGTCACTGGACCCAAAACGTTAACTCTGATTTTTTTCTTCACAGATGCTGCCAGACCTGCTGAGCATTTCCAGCACCTTCTGTTTTTGCCCCTGATAACACCCTACTTTGACCTTTAGTGCATGGATCTCCTGGACTGACTATGACCACCCCCCTTGACCAAGTTGAATGGGTAGTCCTGAGTGATAACTGATCAGCTCTCTGAAAGACTTCACATGATTCCTGGACTGGAGCCACAGGGCTGACCGTGGTCCACACTCCAGCCTGTAGAGGTACAGAATCTCTGAACCTGACTGCCCTGAGCAGCTGACTGACCACACCTAATCCCCAGGACTGATATCAGAGGCAGTCCTTGGCTTACTGTGGTAGAACCCTGAATGTCTCCACTGACTTCGGTGAGGACTTCTCCCTGAAGACTTTCAGACATTATTACCTGCTTGCTGCATATGCAGTGTGTTTGCTGTATCTAGCACATGGTGCTGGGCTCAGATTCATGCAGCACACAGCAAGATGTACTCCCCTTGGCTGAGGATTGCTAACAACCAGAAACATTTTTGCTTCTGTGCGAAAAGGCAAGTCAAGACAGAAGGATTGCAAGTCTTTCATTCCTAGCTAAGAAGGCAAAGCACAAGAAGGCAAGGCAAGGCCAGGCAAGGCAGAATGCTGTAAGCATGAAAGTAAGCACGAAATAAATGAGTGCTAAGAGAGTGAGCAGGCAGCCCTGAGGTGCAGTCCCCTCTCTGAGTTGGGAGCCTATCCCTGTGCAGAAAGTGTCCTGGCAGCAGTAATCCAATAAAAGGTGCCACAAAACCAGAAATTTCTGGAGAAACTCAGCAGGTCTGGCACATTTGTGGAGAGAGAAATAAGGTTAATATTTTGAGTGCGGTGACTCCACTTCAGACTGATATTAGGTAGGAAAAGGAGGTAGTTAGACTGATGACAGACGGTCAGGGGAGGAGGAAAGTGCCGGAGAAGAAATTGTTAGACAAAATTAAAGCTCATGGGATTAAGGGTAATAGTCTGAAATGAGGATTGATTAGTGGACAGAGAATAAAGAGAAAGAATAAACAGATTCCTTTGACATGAATGATGCATCTAGTGCTTGCCACAAGACTGGTGGTGGACAATTAAATAATTCACTGGAGGAGGAACAGGCCTTACAGATATCCCCACACTCAATGATGGGGGAGTGCTGCATGAGTGCAAAAGATCAGGCTAAAGCATTTGTAACAATCGTCAGTCAAAAGTGCCATGTGGATAATCCATCTCAGCAACCTCCACAGATCCTCAGCAACACAGATGCCAGTTTTCAACCAACTTGTTTCACTCAAAAAATGGCTAGTGGCACTGGATACTGCAAAGGTTATGGACCCTGACAAGGTTCTGGCAATAGTACTGAGGACATGTGCTCCAGACATTGTTGCAACCCTAACCAAACCTGTATTAGAGCCTCAGTTGTTCACATCATTTATTCACATTATACTTGGATAATAGCAGAGAAAGTCATACATCCAAATTCGCTGATGACACCAAGTTAAGTGGCATTGTAGACACTGTAGATAATAGCACAAAATTACAAAGGGATATTGATAGACTAAGTGAATGGGCAAAACTGTGGCAGATGGATTTTGATCTAAGCAAGCGTGAGGTCCTCCATTTTGGATGGAAAAAAGATAGATCAGGAAACTTTCCAGACGGTCTTAAGTTACAAAAAAAATTGGTGCAGAAAATATTAAAAAAAGCTTATAGAATGCTGCTTATATATCTATAGGACTACTAGGATCTGTAATGCTGTCATTAGACAAACTCTGGTTAGACCCCACTTGGAGTACTGTGAGAAGATCTGGGCATCTCACCTTAGAAAGGATATATTGGCCTTGGAGTTTACAAGAATGATTCCTTGTCTTCAGGGGTCAAATTATGAGGAAAAATATACAAATTAGGCCCGTTTTCTCTATAATTCAGAAGGTTAAGGGGTGATCTGATCAAAGTCTTCAAGATTATGACGGGAAAAGACAGGGTAGATAAAAATAAACTATTTCCACTGGTTGGGAATTCTAGAACTAGGGGGCATAGTCTAGAATTGGGGTCAGACCATTCAGGAGTGATGTCAGGAAGCATTTCTACGCACAAAGGTTGGGAGAGAATTGGAATGCTCTTCCAAAAACAGCAGTGGATGCTGGATCAGTTATTAATTTTAAATTCAAGACAGATCAATTTTTGTTAAGCAAAGGTATTAAGTGAGATGGGCTAAGGGTAGGTATATGGAGTTTGGCCATAGATCAGCCATGATCATACTGAATAGCAGAACAGACTTGAATGGCTGAATGGCCTACTCCTGTTCCTGTTTCAGCTACAACACTGGCATCTACCTGACAATATAAAAAATTGCACAGATATGTTGTGTAGACTAAAAGCAGGACAACCCCAACCCAGCCACTCTATCAGGCTACTCTCAATCATCAGTAAAGTGATGGAAGGTGTCATCAACCGTGCGATCAAGCAGCATCTGCTCAACAATAACCTGCTCAGCAATGCCCAGATTAGGTTCTGCCAGGGCCACTCAGCTCCTGACCACATTGCAGCCTTGGTTGAAAAATGGACAAAAGAGCTCAATTCTAGAGGTGAGGTAAGTGTATGCAGCCCTCGACATCAATGCTGCACTTGACTGAGTCATGTTGCAGTCAAGTTGCAACTGTATAAGACTTTGGTCAGGCTACATTTGGAGTACTGTGTGCACTTCTGGTCACCACACTATAGGAAGTATGTGGAATCTCTGGAGAGGGTGCAAAATTGGTTTACCAGGATGTTGCCTGGCTTGGACTGTGTTAAATTAGGAGGTTTGCATTAGACACCAGAAGGTAAGGGGCAATCTGATAGTATTATATAAAATTATGAGAGGTGTGAATAGGATCAATTGTTGGAGTCTTTGTACCGGGGTGGAAATGTAAATTGCTATGTGGCACAGGTTTACAGAGAGGGGAGAAGTTTGAAGGAAATGTGAGAGGAAAGATTTTTTACACAGAGGGTATTTGGGGCCTGGAATGCACTGCCAGGGGAGGTGGTGGAAGCAGATATGATGGCAACGTTTAAAGAGGCATTTAGACAGAGACATTAACAGGCAGGGAATAGAACAGTGTAAGAACATGACAACGTAAGAAACAGGAGCAGGAGTAGGCCATCTGGCCCGTCGAGGCTGCCATTCCATAAGATCATGGCTGATCCTTTTGTGGACTCAGCTCCACTTACCTGTCCATTCACCATATCCCTCAATTCCTTTACTGTTCAAAACATCTATTTATCTTTGTCTTAAAAACATTCAACAAGGTAGCCTCATCTGCTTCACTGGGCAGTGAATTCCACAGATTCATAACCTTTTGGGTGAAGAAGTTCCTCCACAGTCCTAAAACTGCTCCCCCTCATTTTGAGGCTATGCCCCCTAGTTCTAATTTCACCCATCAGTGGAAACAACCACCCTGCTTCTATCTTATCTATTCCGTTCATAATTTTGTATGTTTCAATAAGATCCCCCTCATTCTTTAAAATTCCAATGAGTATAGTCCCAGTCTACCCAATCGTTCCTCATAAGCCAACTCTTCAACTCTGAAATCAACCTACTGAACTTCCTCTGTACCCCCTCCAGTGCCAGTACATCCTTTCTCAGCTAAGGAAACCAAAACTGTACACTGTACTCCAGGTGTGGCCCCACCAGCCCCCTGTACAACTGCAGCATTGTCTCCCTGTATTTAAACTGCATCCCTCCAGTAATGAAGGACAATATTCCATTTGCCTTCTTAATTACCTGCTGCAGCTGCAAACCAACCTTTTGTGATTCATGCATAAGCTCCTCTGCACAGCAGCATGCTGCAATTTTTCACCATTTAAATAAAAGTCCATTTTGCTGTTATTCTTACCAAATGGATGACCTCACATTTACCAACATTGTATTCCATCTGCCAGACCCTTGCCCACTCACTTTAACCTATCCATATCCCTCTGCAAACTTTCAGATTCCCTGCACCCTCTGCTGTACCACTCATTTTACTGTCATCTATGAACTTTGACACTCTACACTTGGTCCCCAACTCTAAATCATCTTTGTAATTGTAAACAATTGCAGTTCCAACACTGATCCTTGACCATGTGCAGGCAGATAGGGATTAGTTTAGGATAGCATTGTTGTTGACAATGGTGGTCTGAAGGCCTTGTGCTATATTGTTCTGTGTTCAAAAATGCAGTCAATGAGAATTCAGGGGAAAAAGTTTCCATTGGTTGGAGTCGTGCCTAGAATAAAGGAAGATGATTGTCATTGAGGTCAGCCATCTCAGCTCCAGGACGTCTTTGCAGGAGTTTGGTCTAACTATTTTGAACAGCTACATCAATGACCTGCCCTCTGTCATAAGGTCAGAGTGACATGTTTTCTGACGATTTCACAATTTCAGCACCATTCACAACTGAAGCAGTCTGTGTCCAAATGAAACAAAATCTGAACAATATTCAGGGTAGGGCTGATAAGTGGTAAGTAATATTCATGCCACACAAATGCTAGGCAACGGTCAATTATAAAGAGAGAATCAGGCCATCACTTCTTGACATTGAACTATGTTACCATCACTGTGGATCCCTCACTATCAACAATCTGGGGGTTAACATTGATTATTGAATCAATGACCTGGGCATAGATTTAAGGTCAGGAGTAGATGGTTTAGAGGAAATGCGGGAAAAAGCATTTTCCCCCATAGGGTGGTGGAATTTTGGAACTCACTGCTTGTAAAGTGGAGGCAGAAACCCTCATAATATTTAAGTAGCATTTAGATGTGCAGTTGCGATGCCAAGGCATACAAGTCTATGGGCCAAGTGCTGAGAAATGGGATTAGAATGCTTAGGTGGTTGTTTATGGCTGGTGAGGATGTGATGGGCCAAAGGAACTTTTTCTGTGTTCTAGATCTCTATGACTCTATTAACTGAACTGGACTAACCATATAAGTACTGTAGCTACATGAGCAGGTCAGAGACTATAAGACCATAAGAAATAGGAATGTGGGAGATTGTTCAGCCCTTCAGGTCTGCTCCACCATTCAATAGGATTATTACTGATCTGACAAGTCTCATGTCCGCTTTCCTGTTCTTTCCCCATTATCCTTGATTCCCTGACTGATCAAGAATTTATCTCAGTCTTTAATGTAGCAAGGACCCTGCCCCTACAGCTCTCTATGGTAAGAAGTTCAAAGACTCTCAACCCTCTGAGAGAAAAAAAAAGTCCTCTTCACTCACTCTTAAATTGGCACCCCTTTATTCTGAGACTATGAGGGGAAACATCCTCTCAGCATTTAGCCCTTTAACAGTCCTATATGTTTAAATGAGGTCACCCCTCATTCTCTAAACTCCAGTGAGTAATGTCCCAAACTGTTCAGCCTTTGCTCATAAGACAATCCCTCCATATTAGGGATCATCCTAGTGAAACTTTTCTGAACTGAAATATGAAATAATATCTCTCCTGAAATAAAGGGACCAAAACTGCAAACACTACTCCAGATGTGGTCTCACCAGCACCTTGTACAGTTGCAGTGAGAAGTTCCTACTCTTATACTCCAACCCCCTTGCAATAAGCACCAACATACCATTAGCCTTCCTGATTCCCTGCTGTACCTGTGTGTTAGCTTTCTGTATTTCATGCACAAGTTCCCTCAAGTCCCTTTGTGTTGCAGATTTCTAAATGCCCTCTGAAATGGCCCTAGAAATTCTACTTTGTTCAAGGGCAATTAGGGATGGGCAACAAATGCTTGCCTTGCCAGTGACACCCATATTCCATGAAAGAAAAAAGAAAAACATCAGGAGTAAACCATTCAGACTTCAAACCAGCTGTGCCATTCAATATGATCATGGCTGACTTCCTGCCTCAACTCCACTTTTTTGCTTAATCCACAGATCGTTTGATTCTCTGAGAGATCAAAATCTGTCTCTCTCAGCCTTGGATATCCTCAACAGATCATCCACAACTCTCAGGGGTAGAGTTTACAAAGATTTACAACCCCTCGAATGAAGACAGTTTTTCTCATCTTAGCCCCTATCCTAAGACTGCTCCCCATGTTCTAGATAGCGCAGACAGAAAGAAACAAGCCCTCAGTGTCGAATCTAATGAGTTTCAAGAAATAGTCTCAGGAGATGGCATCGACTATCCATGACTGAGATGATCAACAATGCTTTCACTGGAATGTTGTGGATTTTCAGACATCAAGTACATTTAAGGCTGTGATTGATTTTCTTCATTGGGTGCAGTGGTACAGAGTCGAGAACAGATTGTTCTGGGAGTTCTCAACTTTGACTCTAGACTGTAGAGAGTCTGATAACATGGCCAAGGATAGGCCCTGCTGATTACCAACTCCCTCAACTGAGGAGTCAGTGCTCCTCCATGTCAAACACCAACTGGAAGAAGCACTGAGGGTAACAAGAGAACAGGATGTACTCTGGGTGAGGAATCTCAATGTCTAACACCAAGAGTGGCTCCGTGCCACTGCTATTGGTTGGGCTGCCTGGTTCCTAAAGAACAGAACTGCTATGATTAGGTCAGTGGCAGGCAGTGAGGGAAACATTTAGAGGGAAACCCGACCCGACCTCATCCTACAGTCGACTTGTTGTAATTTTTCACATTGTGGATAGGTGCCAGTGTCGTGGCTGTCATCTTACTCAGAAGGTTATGAATCTTTGGGATTCTCTATTGCAGAGGGCTGTGGAAACTCAGTCTTTGAGTTTGTTTTACTTGATAGCAATGCTTCAAAGGGATCAGGAGTTGATATTGGAAAAAGACTTTGCAGCGGTTGATTAGCCATGATTGCACTACTTGGAGGAATATGTTCAAAGAGCTGAATGGCGTCCCACTGCCCATGTTCCTATATACCTGACCCTAGTTTGAGTTCTGTACACATCTGACTCCACCTGTTCACAACTTACTCTGGGGTGTTCATCCAGATGACATCCAGGTGGCAGTAGTACACACACTCTTTGTCCTTGTACGAGTAACAGGTACAACGTTTAACACGCGCTCGGGGTCGCACCAGTGCAGCATTGATCCCTGAATGAAGATGGGCCCGTAGGTCTACCTCCCTGTCTCTGGCACTGTTTGAGGGCTCTCCCCCATAGATGCCTGCAAAGAAAGAGCACAAGTTGGAGGATTAATCACACAGACAAGCTTCAATTACACTTGCACACAGTTAGACAAGTGAGAGAATCAATAACTGATTCACTAAATACCCCCTCACTTCATTCATTTATTAATTAAATACATGTAGCCATTCTCCATTGATACACTAAATACTTGCGCACTCCATCCAACACTTATCATATGCCCACCTCATTCTGACCATTGGTTCAATATTTACCCTCTTATTCCATTCATTGTTTAACAAATCCTCAACATAACATCATGGTGTAAGATCCAGCTAGTAGGTTTACTGCAGTCCTCTCTCCTGGTTGGGAATTATACGGCCTACTTGATCTAGTCTGGTGAAGGAACGCCACTTTGTAATCCAACAACAAGAGGCTCTTGTCTTGAACAAGATGTAGTTTGCTCCATAATACTAAATGGGAATGGGTTCAGTTTGGGTTCTGCTGGGTCCACTCAGCTCCTGATCTCATTGCAGCTTTGGGTCGAACATGACAAGAGGCGAAGTGAGAGTGATTGCCCTTGACATTGCTTTTAAGTAAATGTGGTATCAAGGAGTCCTAACAAAACTGGAATCAATGGAAGTCTCACTGCTGGTTGGAGTCAAAACCGACACATAAGAAGATAGTTGTGCTTGTTGGAGGTCAGACATCTTAGCTCCACCACATCTCTGCAGGAGTTCCTCAGGGTAGTGTCCCAGGCCCTACCATCTTCAGCTGTTTCATCAATGACCGTCCTTCTATCATTAAGTCAGAAGTGGGGATGTTCACTGAAGATTTCACAATTTTCAGCACCATTCATGACTCCTCTGAAACTGAAGCAGTCCATGGCCAAATGGAACAAAATTTGGACAATATCCAGGTTGGGCTGAAAAAATGGCAAGTAACATTTATGCCACACCAAAGGCAGGCAGTGACCATCTCCAATGACAGAGAAGCTAACCATTCCCTCTTGACATTCAACGGTGTTACCATTGCTGAATCCACTGCTATCAACATTGACCATTAATCAGAAACTGAACTGAATTAGCCATGTAAATACAGTGGCTACAACAGCAGGTCAGAATCTAGGAAGTAAGTAATGTCTCTCCTTATTTCCCAAAACCAGACCACCATCTTCATAATAACAACTCCATTGTCTGCATCAATATGGCTAAAAGAACAATCATGAAGCTTGATACCATTCGAGACACATCAGTCGACTTGATTGGCACTACCACCCTTTTTCACTCCCTCCACCACCAAAGCTCAGTCGCAGCAGTGTGTACCATCTACAAGATGCACTGCAGAAATTCACCAAAGATCCTTAGAGATCACCTTCCAAACCCATGATCACTTCCTTCTGGATGGATAAGGGTAACAGATTCATAGGAACATCACCACCTGAAAGCTCCCCTCCAAGTCAGTCACCATTTGACTTGGAAATATATTGCCGTTCCTTCAGTGTCACTGTTTCAAAATCCTGGAATTCCCTGCCTTACAAGCATTGCAGGCCTCCCTATAGCACATGGACTATAGTGGTCACAGAAGACAGCTCATCAACACCTTCTCAAGGGTGACTAGAGATGAGCAATAAATGCTGGCCCAGTCAGCAACACCTATTTGCCATGAATACATTTTTTAAAATCCCCATTACGTTGCTACGATAGACATTATTAACGGGACTATGAGGGAGATTTTGATGTTATTTCTCTTTCCTTCAAGATCCAGTGTTGTTCCCCTGCCTGATGCATGTGACATCATCATATTGAATGATGTTTAGTTCACTCTTTCAGCATTAACTCTTTCACACCTGTACACAAACATCTCACCCAAGCTTTCATCCCATCATTGTTGTTTATAATCACACTTTCCACAAACTTATCCCCCACAAATTTAGATGTGGAGTTTTGACTATTCTACCAGAATATGTTGCCTTTGGATTTGTAAGATTGGTGGGTCTTTGGGTCAAAGAATCTGTTATTTCATATGAGGGCTGAAAGATTTTTTCATTCTGCCATTCCTCATTCGGTTTATCCCAGTCACTTGGTGGACAATTAAGATGAAGTTCATAAAAAAAACTGAATATTTGCTGAGAATTAAGAAAAATCTTCTTAAATATCGGGCAATTCTTCTCCGTTATCCTACATTTTCTCAGTTCACGTGGCCAACTCAGTTATCATTCTCTAGTACCAGCCCTTATTTATGCTTAACAATTGAATCTACACTTCTCACCCTCAACCAGATTGTGGAATTCTAACATTTATGATTACATTTGTGCTTTACAAGGCATTTATTAATTAATCCTGCCTCGTTGCCTGCTACCAGTTTTAAAATAGCCTGCTTCTGGGTTGGCATCAGAATGTACTGCTCTAAGAAATCATTCCAAATGCAGCTTCTGAACTTGTCTTACAGACTACCTTTACCAAGCTGATTCATCCAACCTGTATGAAGATTAGAAACCACCCATGTTTGTTGCACTACCTTTCTTACAAGCCATACTAATTTTTTCCTGCATACTGTATCCTACAGTGTAGCTACCATAGAAGGCCTATGAGCTACTCCCATATGTAACTTTTATTGTTACTATTTCTTATCTCTACCCAAACTGATTCTACACCTTACACAGTTCTGAGGAAGGGTCACCGGACCTGAAACGTTAACTCTGTTTTTTCCTTCACAGATGCTGCCAGACCTGCTGGGCTTTTCCAGCAACTTTGTTTTTTTTCCCCTGATTTACAGCATCCGCAGGTCTTTTGGTTTTGATTCAACACCTTGATCTTCAGTGGTCATCTCTCACTACTGTAATTTCACCATCCTTAATTAACAAAGCTTACCCCAAAACCCCCTTTACCTAGCTTCCATTCCATTCAAACACATGAACTAGGAGCAAGAATAGGCCATTTGACCTCTCAAGACTGCTCTGCCATTCAATAATATCGTGACTGATTTGTTTCTGTTTTGAATTCCACATTCCCATTCCACATCTACACCAATATCCTTTGATTCCCTTGTGACCAAGTACCTACTTACCTTCACCTTAAAAAAATTCAATGACCCTTCATCCATCAAAGACAGCCTAAAACAGAGATTTCCAAAATCTCACAATGTACAGAGAAAAAAACATATCTCATAGAGTCATAGAATTTAAAATTAATGAGGAGGAGGTATTAGACATTTTAGTGGGCATAAAGGTGCACAAATCCCCAGGATGTATTCCAGGCTTCTATGGGAGGCAAGGGAGGAGATTCTTTGCAGAAATATTTAATACTTTGCTGGTCACTGGTGAATTGTCACCCTGGAAGATAGCTATTGTAGTTCCTTTGTTCAAAAATAGCAGCAGGAATAGGCCAGGAAATTACAGACTGGTCAGTCTGATATCAATTGTAGGGAAATTATTGAAAATAATTCTGAGGAACATATACCAATAATTGGAAAGGCAGGGATTAGTCAGGGGGTAGTCAGCATGGATTTGTTAGAGGAAAATCCTGTCTTACTAAGTTAGTTGAGTTAGAATCATAGTCATAGAAATTTACAGCCTGGAAACAGTCCAACTTGTCCGTGCCAACCAGATATCCTAAATGAATGTAGAGCCATTTGCCAGCATTTGGCACACATCCCTCTAAACCTTTCCTATTCATATACCGATCCAGATGCCTTTTAAATGTTGTAATTGTAACAGCCTCCACCACTTCCTCTGGCAGCTTGTTCTATACATGCACCGCCCTCTGCATAAAAAAGTTGCCCCTCAGGTCACTTTTACCTCTTTCCCCTTTCACTTTAAACCTATGCTCTCTAGTTATGGACTCCTCGACCCTGGGGAAAAGATGTTGGCTGTTCACCCTATCCGTGCCCCTCATGATTTTATAAACCTCTATAAGGTCACCCCTCAGCCTCTGACATTCCAGGGAAAGTAGCCCCAGTCTGTTCAGCCTGTCCCTATAGCTCAAACCCTCCAACCCTGGGAACATCCTTGTAAATCTCTTCTGAATTCTTTGAAGTTTCACACCTTTCCTATAGCAGTGAGACCAGAATTGCAAACAGTATTCCAAAAGTGGCCTAACCAATGTCCTGTACATGACCTCCAAACTCCTATACTCAATGCACTGACCAATAAAGACAAGGGTACCAAATGCCTTCTTCACTATCCTGTCTACCTGTGATTCCACTTTCAAGGAACTATGAACCTGTACTGCAAGGTCACTTTCCAGGACCTTACCATTAAATGTATATATCCTGCCCTGATTTGCCTTACCAAATCAGCACATCACATTTATCTAAATTAAACTCCATCTGCCACTCCTTGGCCCAATGGCCCATCTGATCAAGGTCCCATTGTACTCTGAGGTAACCTTCTTCGCTGTCCACTACACTATAAATTTTGATATCAACTGCAAACTTACTAACCATACCTCCTATGCTCACATCCAAATCATTTGGATAAATGACAAAAAACAGTGGACCCAGCAATCCTTGTGGCACACCGTTAGTCACAGGCCTCCAGACTGAAAAGCAACCCTCCACCACCACCCTCTGTCTTCTACCTTTGAGCTAGTTATGTGTCCAAATGGTTAGTTCTCCCTGTATTCCATGTGATCCAACCTTGTTAACCAGTCTTCCATGCGGAACCTTGTCAAAAGCTTTACTGAAGTCCATATAGATCATGTCCACTGCTTTGCCTTCATCAATCCTCTTTGAAAAGGTGACTAAATAAACTGATGACGGTAGTACAGTTGATGTGGTGTACATGGGCTTCAGTAAGGTCTTTGACAAAGTTCTACAAGGAAGGCTGGTTCAAAAGTTCCAAAAGATCTCCATGGGATCCAAGGCAAAAATTGGTTTGCAAATAGGAGGCAAAGGATAATGGTGGAGAGTTGTTTTTGTGATTGGTAGACTGTGACCAGTGGCATATCACCAGGATTGGTGCTGGGGCCATTGTTGTCTGTTAT